GCTATTCTTCCTCTCAATTTGAAGGCAATGAAAACCCTCCCCCTGCCTCAATTGCTTCCCACAGTGAGTCCTGTATTTAGAAAGGAATTATCTGGCCCATGAGAGATGGCAGGCTAACAGCATCATTTATAAGCTGAATTCATCCCTGGCAATTCTGACCGTAAGAAAGGGCTCTTGGGAAGAATATGTCCTTAGGATCACACTCCCTGGTGCTTACAATTTTACAGTCATGCTGCACAGACACACTTATATGGTGTTCTTAACCATAAGATTTCTAAGCCTCTGCATGTTATCCCTTTAGTACAAACGCTGCTGTGAGCAGGGGGAAGCAGGAAGGACTGGCTGCAAAGGCTAAGGCAAGTACATTCTTCTTTGGAGAGGCCTTCACTTTAGGAGCATATATTGATGGCTCTAAGAGTGAATTGTACATAGGTCAGCCAAGGAAAGAAAAGGGTAGCATTACAATGCCTAGCTTACATTAGGTGAAGATTTGTCCTCTCTGAATGTCTTTATGCATTTAAGTCTAGCCTCCGGGCTCCCGTGTCCTTGACAATATTAGTTGGAAGGACACAGTTGTTGTATGTAATGGAAAGTTTGGCTAGCAGAGATTTCAGGTCCTGTTTGTCATTTCGGAGGCGGGCGAAGCGAAAATGAAGGGGAAAAAATATGCCAGTCCTGATTTTTGTATTCTGGATATTCATTTTCTGATCCCCTTCTTGACAGAAACTCCTTCAGAGTAACCCTACTCATTAGTATTTAGAATCACAAATTCTTTACAAATTAACCAAGTCAATGAACAGTATCACCTTGTTTATACAGGTAAAGGGCTCAGTTCAGTTAGCAGCATTCCCATTACATGAGGTAAACTTATTTAGGAGCTTTGCATCCTGCAGAGAGCTCATTTCCAGTAATGCAAAGTTTTGCATAGCAAAGAAAAATGCTTAGCAACACAATTAAGTGATGCCATCAAGGTGATTTCTGCTACTCTATTCAGAATGAACATTAAGAAGCTTGCTGCTTTCAGAGAAGCATGCACAACCATAAAGCACTCCACAGACAAGATCAGTTTTTGCAAATTTACTGTTTTACATACACCAGCAGAGTTCCACTGTGCTGCTAACACCACAAGACTTGACAAAGGGCTTCCTTTTTCCGGCCTGAACGCATTTTTGTTCAACATCCATTGACATGTTGATTATTTACCCACAACAAAAGCAATATTTGAAAGTACAATCACCCCTAAAGTAGTACTGTACAGTTCACCTATCCATTAATTTTGCTGGGGGAAAAAGAATATCCTTAAGAACATGTGCTAGATGCGTTAGCAGCACTGATTAAAGCCAATGGCATAACAACAATCGCTACCTTGTTTTAGTAACACAGCTCAAAACCAAGCAGCCAACAGCTCCGGTTTGTCATCGACGAGCTTACGGAGCAGGGCTGACTAATGCATTGGCAGTTCCCTTGAGCTCGACTGCATGGAAACCAGCCAGGAATTCCTTCAGTTTAATCAGCGCGCACAGATCCCGGTTTGCTTCCTTACCTGCTTCGGCATCTTGGCGATTCCCTGGAGCAGCACAGGGCTGGGCACGATCCCTGCGACAGGAGCGCTGCAGAGCGGGGCTGGTTGAGCACTGACACTGTGGCGTCTCCTTCGAGGCGGGCTCAAGTGCCCTTAAATAAAACAAAGGGCGTTTAGGGCAAAATAACTCCAGATTTACCGCTCTGCAGCCCGAAGTTGT